TGTAACTGCCATTTTTGTAATTTTACAGGAGAAGCGATTTTGTGTCGAAATGCAGCATGTATAACATTTAGGATGCCATAAAAATAAAACTGATCAATTTTTAATGACAGTAATGTTCTAATATTCAAAGTTTGGTAATTAGAGATCGAGGCTGTTTACATAATGAGATCAATGTCTTACTTTTAGCGATATTTATAACAATAAAACAAAAAAACTAATTCACCTACCACTTTCTGCTTTTAAACATAAATCAAATAGTTAAATATTAAATAGGTAAAGTTACCGTAATATAATGTGACACCTACAAATGAAAAAAATACAAAAAGAAAATTTTTGTTATTATTATTATTTTAACTAAAGTAACCTTTGTCAGTATCAGTCATCCCATTATACAGTCAGTATAAAAAAAAATAAGTTTTTTTTGTTTTTCTCATTAAAATAGTATACAATAATTCCTGATATTTCGGAGTCACGTACGTGTAGTATGTAAAGTGATTTATCTCTTGTGAAGTTTTGGCTCAGGAGGCGTCCAGTCAAACTCGGAATCGTTATTGTCTGTAGCATAAGGATCAGCGGGAGAGTCAACGAAATTTTCATTATCAAATAAGTAATAAAACCCTAAGTCAACTACCATATCTCCTCTTTGGTGGCGGAGCATTTCGCGACACCGAAACGTTTCTGCAGTTCCCATAAACCTACGCACATGGAGGGATCGGAGGATGTCTAGCTTATTCTTTACTGGCTCTCCGGGCTAGTGCAGAAGATGGTCGAAGTGTCTTGCGACAATGTCCGGGCATAGCTTCCGACTTAAAGTGCACGTGACCCGCGCATCTCTTCACCTTAGGCCCTCGTCTAGACCGCTACTAAAACGCGATATCTGCGTGTGGGACAAACGCCCTGGCTACATGTAACCGGGGCAGATGAACGTGTTCATCCCTGCAACTAACCACAAACCCCGGCAAGTCCATAACTAAGTCCGGGTCCACCAGAGACGCCCGTGAAGGCGTATCACTAGCGGAGGGCTTGGCCCGGATGCCCGCCGTACCCTAGTATTACCGAGGAGCCCGTAGTCTCTCCGGAGCTCCCTATCTGTCGAGTCAGTAGATAGAAACAGCACTCGCTCGCGCTGTGCAAACAAACTAATATCACTCGAATGAGAACCTAATTTGTAGCTTTGACATGGAGATGTTTGCCGAATTTGTTCATTGCCAATTTGTAACAAGCTGTTATATATTGTTAACAGAATCCACTGATTGGATTGGCACAGGATTTTTTTTCATATTTAAACAGAAATTTTTCTTGAATTTGTGTAAGGGTAGCGAAACAATCTAACCAATTCGGGAATTTCGTAGTGTATACCTTGATCATGCAGCGGCGAATCGTTGTCTCTATACTATTATTTGCTTTCGTTATCTTATAACATTATACTGTATCTGTACTAAAATTGAGCATAACACTGTAACTCCGAACTTACAATAAAATGCTTCGTAGTGGGTAGCGGTCTTAGATCAAAATAATTTTAAAAAACTCAGTACCTATGGCGAATTTCGTAGACACAGCTTTATGGGTCAATAGAACTCGAAAAATTATGGAAGATACCGTTAAAAACTCAAAATCATAAAAAATGGAGTTACAGTGTTATGCTTGTCAGATATGGAAATACTTACCCTCCGTGTCGCATAGCCGTGCGTCACCCTGTATCAAAATGATAAGCTAAAAGCATTTCTTTTAATGCTCAATAATGTATTTCATGTAACTTAGAAATATGCATACATATGCAATGCATACATGCATAAATGCTTCAGGTTCAATAATGTATTTGCATTAATTTTATTTATTTTATAGATTTTATGATATATGTACATGATTTATTATTATATCATACAAAATTATACGTATATATAAATATTAGGTATTTTGATAGAAATATTTTTCTCTGTAAAGTGTTTTATTTTAAATTTAATATATGTTTTGTTGATTCATGGTCGGTGGCGTCCACTCCGTTTCTCGGCCACCACAGAATACCAGCGTTGGGTTGTTTTGCATACACAACTCGACAAATGCTGAGTGGTGCCCATTTTGGATCTCAATGTTTAATATTAAGATTTACTTTGTATTACTAATAGAGACCAAATAAATATTATTTTCTTTCTTTATTTCTTTCTTTCATTCTGTAAACTCTTTGATGTGCAATCATTAGATAAATTTGTAGTCTTCACTATGTGTAATTTATAATTGTATCTGATAAGACACAATTATAAATTATTATGTGAGCTGTCTGATAAGTCGGCTCACAATGGCGGTAAAATTTTATTCTAATTTCCCTAGGCAATTCTAATTACACCAGTCATGCCGTCTAAACTCCCAACGCAGTAATTTGGTAACTGATTACCCTTACTTACTTTTAATGTAGTTATAGAGGTAGTTATTATTTAGATCTCCTCTTCAATGTATTATTTCGGGGAAGTAAACATCAATTTCTGAGTTAAAGTATCTGGCTAAGGACACACTCATACGTTAGTTGTTTACTTTCTTCATTTGGATCGTGCAATTACTTTGTGTCTGATTTTTTCGAGTTCTACGTAAATATTTGACTGTAATTAAATGAATAATCTACAAAATGTTATTTCTCCAAGGCTTGGGTCGAGGAACCATGATTACGACAAATGACGGACATCTAATGTAAAGAAGGGTGATATCAGTCACTTTCACTGAGATTATATTGCAATTATGATAATATTTGTTATTCCGCTATGATCTAGTTGCAATTGAGTCTCAATAGATTATGAGTAGAATGGCAGCGATGGTATTCAGTCATTCAATCACTTACGATCAATGTTGCCTTACTAAAATTACCATGGAAATTACAATCCATATTTTCATTTTTATCTCATTTATCAGCAATTTAGTCTTCTAATTAAATTAATTTTTATAACATAAACCTCGATAATCGATTTACGGTTTTTACTTACAATTTAAATAAATTCTAAGGAAAAACCTTCAAAAGAAACGTCAAATAATTAAAGACTACGCTATCGACGTGCCATAGGCTCGCAATTAAAAAGCAGAATATAAAAAAAGGCAATCACAGTTGATTAGTAGCTAAATGACTAGCCACTACTTTTAACTTTTAGCAGAATACAAAACGTACAAAATCACAATACAACTGTGGTGATTTAAAATTAGCAGAATTGGGGCCCTGTAATTAACAACTGTTAGCTATTTTATAACACGCTGTTTAAATGTAAATTTATCCCGTTACTATAAATTTAAAAAAAAATATCGTTTTGTACTTATAAATTATTGTTTATTATTATTTTAATTATATTAAAATTTGTATTTTACTAACTTAGTCATAAGGTTACAATTGTTACTAACACGATATGGAGATGATCCGAAAAAAACTGTTATTATTATTAAATTAGGTCGCTATTTAATTTTAGTCAAATCGATTAAAGTAAGTAGCAACACAAGCGGTAGCGATGTCGGAGACATTCGATTCGATTCGAAAGGAGCACTATCTATAACTTCGCACTAAGGAAGGTCGCTGCATATACAAGATGTGTAAATGGGGGCTTAAGAATGTTAAGCGAACCCAATGTGACTGCGGTGCCCCAACAAAGTCCATGCAGCACTTGCTCTTGTGCCCCTTGTGCCTAATACCTGGATGAGGGAAGATCTCTACGTTGCTACGATTAAAGTGGCAACATGCTATAGAAAGTCGACATAGTCCTAAAATAAAAGAAGCAACGTCACGATAAAAAGAAGAAGGAGAGCTATTACTAACGAAACTCTTTTTTTCTTTTATTAAATACATGCATAGTATGATATAAAGATATATCTATCTGATTATAGTTTACGTGAGTTACCAATCCATAATTTTATTAAAAGAGAATGAGTTATATTTATTTTGTTAAATATTAAAGATCCGTTTGTAAAATATTACCACAGGCCAGTAAATGTTGGCATCAGCTTCCATCCCTCACCCCTCTCTCCAACCGCACAAGCACGTCACACAGTGTGGCCGAAGTTAGGTCGTAATGGCACGCGTGTGTCGTCAGTTAACTCATTTTGTATCGTTGTGTGGCACAAAGCGAGCTTTAATATGAAACCAAATTCAGCGTAAATTAAGCGTCACAAAAAACGCCACTCACAACTCAAAAGATAACGCTAGTCTGGCCTCACCCTAATAAAAATGTGGGAGGACTTTCGTGAACCTAAATAAGATATTAGTCTTAAGAATTCTTCACGTAAAGAGAAAACATTGTAGACTGCCATTATTTATAATTAATTGTCGGAGAAGGTGATCCACATACATAGATACATGTGTAAATATAGCTACAAGGCACTCCTTGTAGCTATATTTATACATATATATTTCTGTATCACTATACAGAGTTGTTAAAATCATCAAATTTTAAATCATTACTTGTTTCGAATTCCGGATTTCCGGAAATGGTTTCACTGCATTGTAAGACAAAACTACTCTTCTAGGAAGTCAAAGTTGGATTTTAAAGTAATTCTAGTGGTGCCATGTAAAAATAATACAGTAGATAACAGACTTTTCAATACAATAAACCTGCTTGGCGGAAGAAATAAATATAGTGGCAGTACTTCTCTGGACGCACTCTTTCATAACGAACTCTACTGCTACTAAAATGATGATATATATTACTAAAAGCAGCACACAAAATAATTACTTTTAATTGCTCCAGTTTTCTTAAACCTCTTTAGTTACAACGATTTATGTTAATGGAACAAATTAAAGATATTCATTTGAAAAAATAATTTATTTTAATCGAAATTGTAATGAAATCGTGCAACACTGAACACTTAACTTGGAACATTCCAGTTATTAATTTTAACTTTTTCGTTAAATGAAAAGAAGATAGGTACATAATAATGTTACTTATCATAATTTTAAGAAGAATATTTACAACTTTTAATACATTGAATACACTATATATAGAACAATGAAAATATAATTAAATGACTACCTAGTATATAATATAAAATGTAAAAATATAAATGTGATTTTCCGATCTCTCTCTGATATTTTATTTGAAATACGATAAGAGAGAGTACAATCAGCGACAAAGACGTCATATCTTAGAAAATAATTTCATAATCTTACACTCATACATTAATACGACGATTTTGTCAGTGTAGTCGGTTACGAACTATATAAATGCAAATATTGAATTTCCGTAAATTCTCCTACATAACTATAAACCTACCATATTTAAACGATGAAAAAATCAGACTTTCGACCCTAGACGAAAAATAAATCTATTTACATAAATTAATTCTCAATATGTGATAGCTTTTTCTAGTGAAGATACAAGTATAATAACTGTGCAAGAAATAATAGGGTGACCAGTTTTTGCGTCATGGCTCATGGGACGCAAAGACTAGTATACATTTTATATAATTCATTATGTACAAGTTTACAACAGCAACGTACTAGCTTAAGACAATAATAGTATTTATTATAATTTGTATTTATTTACACTAGATTAGGCATAGAAATATAAAATAAAATATGACAATTGGAGTTCATCTAAGAGAGCAGCGTTACCTGAAAAAGAAATAACACTTGAAATACAAAATATACCACGTACGTATAAAGTCGTTTATAAGTCGGTATGTAACATTATATTTACGCCACTCTCAATTTTCAGTTACAAATAAAATAAGTAAAAGTTGGAGATGACACGTCTTATGTGAACTAAGAACAAAGGGACTAAGGTGAATAGAAACACACAAATAATAGTAATAGTAATAATGTGCCAAGCAACCACACCAATTATCTCGCCTCAAAGTAGGGAATTCCCTGTACCAGAGCAATGGAATTCATTGCAGTACGCTAACCAGAACACCCAGATCAGAACCAATTTAGAAAAGTTTATTTCCCAAATTAGTCGTGCGGGAAATGTATCCAGAGTCCAAAGTACAAACCATTTGGCCACCGAGGTCGTCCAATTAATGTTACTTGCAGTAAAATAATGACTTAAACTTTGCTGGCTTACACAAAACCCGCTATTATTCCACACAAACACGTTATTTCAAGAGTTTAGCCATTGACACGATTAAGTAATGAATATGCAGGTTTAGGTGCACGTGTAGTATGCAAGTCTATAGAAGATAGGTCTAATGATACGTCTGTAGTGATTCCAAGACGAGATTGACTAAGACTTTGTAACGATGGGGCACCAAAAGTATGATCCCATAGAAAAAATACACGTTTTATTTTTTTCCTACTAAAGTATTAGATTTATGGCAAAATGTGATATAACAATATTTAATTAGGACAATAGGATCTCTCAATTGGCATTTTTTTAGCGAGGTATCGTGAAAAAATCCCATGTCCGCAATATCGCTGATCCGAACCACTGTGTCGCAAAGTTAAGATAAATATAGTGTACCTGCCTGTCCCCAATTACGTCAATTTTTAATGTACTTAAGTTATTTCCCGCAACCCGAACAGGCCCAGGACCTAAATAATATTGTCGTAAGCCAGTCTCAATTTTCTGTCTATGTTCCTCGAAGTTTAGGTAAAAAAACTCTACCTATTCCGATCCCTGGTTATAACAGTACTTTGTTATTTTGATTAAGCGGAATGGAGATTAAATACTATTGTTTTTTTATGGTATCAAATAACGAACATGTCACACGCCTGGTGACATTTTCAATGCCACTCGGAGCTTTAAATCGCAAAGATCTGCACTGCCCTGTTACGTTTACCTATTACCCTTGAGACAATGTTGACAAGTTTCATATGCTAGTAGTTTTACCAGCACTTACCCTTCAAAGCCGAAACGAACTAATGCTCAAATTATTGTTTGGCTGCAGATATAGATGTGGCAGTACTTCCTTGGGCAAGTTCTTTCACAACGAGTTCTTCTGATACTAAAATTTTCATTAAACACAGCTCTTATCTGATTCTCTTGGGTACAAAATAGACTATATTATACGTAAATATGAATTATATTTACACTTTTATTGCAACTGCCTCCGTGGCCGATTACCGGACTGCGACGCAAAGGTCCCAGGTTCTATTCCCGGGCCGGGAAAAGTATGTCCTACATTTATTTCTCTCATGAGTTTGGGTGTAATTTGTGTTGTCCATGTCACCCGCGACACTAATGCGGGGCTATGTTGGGTTGTGTGTACGTTATTATTATTATTATATTTATATTACGCGATTATCATGCACAGCAATACTGAAAAATCTATAAATGATCAGTAAGTATTTTAGTCGACTATATCCAAAATTTTGCTTAGAAAATTTTATAAAGTTATAATTAACTCCCATATAAAAAACCTTTATAAAAAGCATATTTTCAAAGTACAATAAAAACACAAAATGTCATGCCTCATGAAAATAACAACAAAAAACAAAAGCTTTTATTCAATAAATAAACAATGAACCTTATGAACAATTTTCAAACACCCACAAAATGTTCAGTAAATTGGCTATCCAAATATACCTAAAGCTATCTTGAGCAACGATCCGGGCTCGGTAATTCATTTTCCTGAATACATGGAGATAACCAACAATCGTACGAAATATAGCTGAAACAATTATTCGTGTGCACACGCACGATTAAATAGGTTCCCTTTCCTTTGCGGAACACTTTGGAAAAATATTTATAGAGATATTTATTCTTGTAATTCAATGGTAGTATCCAAATGAAGGCTTCAATTTAAAGAAATGCTATGACTTTGAAAGAGATGCTTATGACTACACTAAATAAGAAATTATTAATTGGCACTTGGATTTTCCGAGGAAATTATAACTGCTATAAATTTTAATAAAACGCCTACATTACGCTTAATTATTATATGCCGACGATCAACGCTCTCCATTTATTGTTATTTTTATTTCATCCAATTAAATACGTAGGGCGCACTATAAGTTTCCGGAATGAATAAGAAAAAAATACTACAAAAATGGTCAGAAATGAATTCATTGTTTCTCAAAATATTCTCCGTTAGCGTTAATGCACTGTTTCATGCGAATGAACCAATTTTGAAAACATTTATGCCACTCCTCCGCGAAACATATTTTTCATACTCTTCGACAGCCTCTTCAGGTGATGAAAATCGTTGACCGCGTAACTGGTTCTTAATTTTTGGAAATAAATAAAAGTCACAAGGTGCCAGGTCGGAACTGTACGCGGGATGACTCATAAGGTCAACGTTGTTCACCTTCAAAAATTCATTTGTTTGTCTGGCCGTGTTAGAACTGGCATTATCGTGGTGCAAGATAACACGGCGTTTACGGCTATTTTTACGGAGTTTGTCAATAACTTCCGGCAAATAATTGGTCGTGTACAAATCGCTATTCACGGTACAACGATTCTCCAAAGCAACAGTAGCTACGTGTCCAGTTTTATTAAAAAAAGAAGCAATCATCCGCTTAGAGGCACTATGCACGCGCGCCATATTGGTTGGTTTCAGCTCATCTCGAAAGACCCATACGCTCGATTATTGCTTTGTTTTGGGATCGTAACTATAAATCCATGTTTCGTCACCTGTTACTAGGTCCCGCACCAAATTCGACGCCCCTTCGTTGAATCTGGTAAGCATGGCATTGCACCAAGTCACACGATCCGTTTCTTGAACCTCAGTCAAATTGTGTGGGATCCACCGAGTGCACAGCTTTTTCACACTCAAATGTTTGTGTAGTATTGATTGTATTTCACTCATGTCTATGCCTAAAGATGCCCGAATCTCATCGATGTTTTTGTTGTTCACAGCAGTGGACGGGCGACCATCATGAAATTCGTTACTGAGATTCACACGACCGCGTTTGATTTCTGCAAACCAGCTATAAATAGTCGTCTTGCATGGTGCTTCATCGCCAAAAGCAGTTTGAAGCCGAGCGAAGCTCCGCTGAGCTGTTAAATTACACTAATGGTCGTATTCTAGAACTCTACTCAATGCTCAAGTCAGGATTTGAGTATGATTTAAAGCACTCGAAATCATACTCAAGTCCCTGCCATTAGGGTCGTATTTCCAGTGCTTGTGTTGCCAGTGCAATCTGACTTGAGCATTGGATAGAGTTCTAGAATACGACCCTTAAAGTCGTAGAAAATCATACTACGAAAATTTTCACGAGTTAAATCCATGATGATGTAGACAACCAATTTCTAAAATGACGCCACAATGTAAAAACAAGTGACAGTCAGATGAAACAAACTGTATTCTACAGCCAAAGAGTTCCATTTCCAAATGTTATAATTACTTTTAAAATATTGTTTATGTAAGTGGCTAAAAAACTTATAGTGCGCCCTATGTAATAAAGTAAAGTTAAACACGTAGACTTGAAATATGCGAGAAATCAAGCTAGATTACAATAGAGGTTTTATTATTTAGTTCTAAAAGCGCCCTAACGACATTATCATGACTAATGTCAATGCCATTCTTATTCAAAGTTATAATAATGTTAACTTTATTATAACTTTTAATAAAGTGTAGAAATAAATAACCTCGCGAAAAGTCTGAGTTGTTTACTTTCCAAGAATACTGACATTTTTTGAACTTTACAGCAAAATTTGTATTGTAGTCGTGACACAGAATAAATTGAACATTATTATAAAAAATACTTCAAACTACGTAAGATTTGTGGTTTAAATAGGTACTTACCTACGCCGAAAGCTAGTTACCGTTTTATTTAAATAAAATTCAATGGTACGAAAAGTGTGATTTTTTTTTTCAACTAAGCAACGTAGAGATGTCAAAATAAATAGATATTAATATAGGTTGCTGAAACATTAGTTTAGTGATAGGTACTGATGCACCAGTGAATGGAATGCCAGACAGCTAAACCATCTACCTGGTCTCCAATCAGGGCATTTCATGAACTATGAGTACTAGAGCAGATGACATTATTTCCGGGGCACAACCCTGAACACCTAGACCATAATCAATATAAAAAAGTTTGTTTCTCAAACGTGTTCTACTGAGAAACGAACCCGGAACCACAATATGAACCGCCGAGCCACACAGATCGACAAATCGGAATCTGTTAAGAATGCTACTTTTAGTGCGCAATTAGTAGGTACTTTCTTCTAGTAAACGTTAACATGTACGACGCCAGTACATCAAGCAACACATGGACTTATTTTGTGCCGTTGTACTGGAGGCGATTTTCGAACAAAAATGTGTAGTCTGATGTGCTGTTGACCGTACATATTATGTATTCGGATTGTGTGGAATTGCAAAGTGTGTACAATTCCTGAGGATGTGAATCATTTGATCGTGGAGTGTGCCCGAACAGAATCTGTCAGTTAGGGTTACTTATTTATTTGTAGGTTGATTTGGGTGCATTTAATGTAGGGTGGTTTCAATCAGTTTTGTCAGAGCCAACAAATAGTGCCGCAAAATTTCATGACATGGTTAGTTAGGTAGTATTTTGATTTTGCTATTTGAATTCTATTTAGGGTTTTTAAACTGACTTCAAAAAAAGAAGGAGGTTCTCGATTCGACTGCATGTATGTTACGCAATAACTCCTGTATTTGTGAACCGATTTTAATTATTCTTTTTTTGTTGGAAACAAGATACTACTCAGT